TTTTTTGATAAGATCATGAAAAATGCCCACTGCTCTCTTCTCGACTCTGAAAAATAGCACGTATTTCTTTCTGTATGGTAAGAAATGCTAGTTTCTATTATTGTGGATTATAATATCAATCAGATCTACATGGTGTTTTTCAAGAGCAACATGAAGTAGCAATGACCTAAAAATTCTCTCAATGAATTTCGTTTTAGAATTTTCATATAAGTTGTTCTGTTGCACTTTACGATGATTGAGTTGAAATAGTTTTGATTTTCAAATTAGATATTATGCTTTGAAATGACGTTATCATTATTTGCCGATAATTCAATATCAGAAACATATTTAAAAAAGTGGCTGATAATCATGAAACAAACTTTCTATTAGTATTTAAGGCTCGTTCTTTGACGATTTGAATTATTTTCCTACTTATAGTTGCGATAAACAAACCATGCAACATTTTAACGGTTTGGAGTGATTCTCACTGCTGTTACAAGAAAATGCCTATTTACACGTGTCCTCATGTATTGTTTGGATAACGTCTTTTAACAACTCCCAGTTTCTATTGAATAATAGATAAAACGTAAAATAAGAAAGGAGTCTGTAGGAATTGCCCTTTTGAAATATATTTGTTTGTGTCACTGACAAGCAATATTCGATTTTGAATCATTCAGTAGAAAAGACACTTATCGACTAGATAATACAAAAATATCTGTGAACTGATTCGAAATTCCTTAGTAAAGAAATAAAAACTAAAACGCGTTCCTAATCAATATTCTTATTAGAAACAAACATTGACTTACTAAGTCTGATGATCGGAAATTTAGGATTCTAGTTGTATCTTGCAAGCATCGAAATAAAATACTTCATGTAAAAACAACAAGAAATGACACAATGTCTTCGATGTGTCTTAAATAAAAACAAATTAATCGAAAAAACTATAATTTGCACTCTTCCTGTATTTGGCTCAATAATGCTATCAGGTGAAAGAAACTATTTTGATGAAGACTTTAACTTCAACGGAACTATGGACAAATCCTGGATTTCACTCAGCACAGTGCCGATGATTCATCGCACGCTTTCCTTTCAACTTAGTTTTTTATTAATATTCTTAAAATAATTTTGATCTGAAAACGAATCTTCCTTCTCAAAAATATCTGAAGTGAACATTAAAGAAATCGATTCCTACGATGAAGTGATCTTCATTTCATCACAGTGTTTGAAAGTTTACTTCATGAGATTCATTCAAAACACAAACAGATTTTTCGTCGAGAAAACAGGAATTAGTTTTCAGACACTTTAGTTATTAGTGTCGAATCTGAATCCTTATTGAATTTTTTTTCATACAATCATTATTCGATCTAAAGGGATAATGACTCATATTATTTTTACAATTCTTGTTGCAAATTATCAGAGAGTATGATACTAGCTATTGGAATCGCTCTTTAACAATTGAACTTGGTGTTGACTGATCCATGTCAAACGATTCGATTGTTTACTTCATATATTACAAAGAATTAATTAGCTATATTTTATGAATTTTCATCATCACATCGATTCGTGCCGTTACAACAGTTGCAGACTTGCCGAACGACTAGATTTTGCAACAGGTTTGAATTAAAATAATCTTGTCACTCTCATTACACAACTTCCATAAAAGAATCGAATACCATGCCCAAAAAACAAGGCTTTTTTCAACTAGAACTTGGCCTTGTGTAATAGTTTATCTTAACGGGGATAGCTGCATATTTTCAATCAAACTATAGGATTGTTACCCTTCTATTGGCAATTTCTGAAATTCGAGGTTTGAACGTAGAATAATAAATGCATCAAAATTAAGGATAAAATAATCTATGCTTGTTTGTAGAATACTAAACGCTTCTAGATTGACTGTAACACGATGTATTTTGTCATGCCAACATCTACTGTTTTAGTTTTCATATCCTCTCACGAGCAGGTATCTATCGACTCATAAGCACAAAAATTGGGTCAGTGGATGAATCCAGCTTGTCACATCGAATAATACATTTACGGAGATACAGAATTTAAGATTTTTCTAAGTTCCAAAATAGTGAACCCTTGTGTTAAAAATGTGAATTGCACTGCTACAATGCGTGTAAAATACAAATTGCGATGAAAACATAAAATACGAAAACTAGAAATATTGATCACATCATTTTCTCACTAGAATGAACTATTGATGGAATAAATATTTTTTGAGTCGTAATTCTTGGAGAATTAACGGAATCTCAATAAACGTTTTAAAAGTCGGTGTGTTCTTCTCAAGTACAAAGGGGACTTATTATACAATTGATTGCTATAGTGTACACCAATCTACCCTGCATCATATAATAATAAACCCTTTTACGATATCGTATAATAATCTACCCTCACAGGTATTTTGATAAACGCTTCTACTGAAAACGGAGAATAATCTACCATTGATCGTAGAATAATGAACCGTTTTGATGACATCGCCTACTGGTCTGTCATCAACGGTATTATAGTAAACGCTTTTTCTGAAAATAGAGAATAATCTACCCTCATTGGTATTATGATAAACGCTTCTACTAAAAATGGAGAATAATCAACTATTGATCGTAGAATAATAAACCCGTATGGTGAAATCGTGTGCTGATTTACCCTCAAACGTATTATAAAGAACGCTTCCTATGAAAGCGGAGAATAATCAACTGTTGGTCGTAGAATAATCAACTCTTTTGATGACCTCATATACTGGTATACCCTCAGCGGTATTATAATAAACGCTTTTTCAGAAAGTGAAGAATAATCAACCGTTGGTCGTAGAATAATGAACCATTTTTACGATATCGTACAATAATCTACCCTCAACAGTATTATAATAAACGCTTCTGTTGAAAATGTAGAATAATCAACCATTGATCGTAGAACAATGAACCCTTTTGATGACATCGCCTACTAGTCTGCCATCAACGGTATTATAGTAAACGCTTTTTCTGAAAGTGGAGAATAATCAACCATTGATCGTAGAATAAGATTTGTTTTACATGAATCGTATAATAATCTACCCCTGATTGTTGGATAATAAACTGATTTTGGAAGTACGTATATTAAGCTATACCTATCCGTTTATTAATAAACACTTTGAATAAAATTATGAAATACAAAACCCTTAAAACAACTTCATATACCCTTTTTATATTCATATACCCTTACGATCACAAACCCTTCGGCTCATGTACCTTTCATAGGGTATATGGCGTGCGCATAAACCCTTCAAGGGTTTATAGAAAAAAAAAAACAAGGGCAAGCGTTCATTATTCTGCCCTTTTTTTTTTACAGTGCACACCCACACCTCTATACCACTATACGTCTATACCTCTATACCACTATACCTCTATACCACTATACCTCTATATCACTATACCTCTATACCTCTATATCTCTATACCACTATACCTCTATACCTCTATACCTCTATACCACTATA